TATTTGAAGGAATTACCTGGTAGTGACTGATTAGAAAAGCACAAATAGTGGCTGGTGCTGTGGCATAGTGAGTAAAGCTGCCCATCCCATATGGGCACCAGTTTGAGTCCTGGCTGCCTAGGTTCAGATACAGCTCCCTGCTAATTTGCCTGGCAAAGCAGCGAAGGATGGCCCAATCCTTTGGACCCCTGAACCCTTATGGGAGACCAGACAAAGCTCTTGGCTTCTGGCTTCCATTTGGCACAGTCCTGGACCCTGGTTGTAGCCATTTGGGTAGTGAACCAGCACATGGAAGATTCCCCCTCTCTCTCTCTCTCTCTCTCTCTCTCTCTCTGCCTTTCCTTCTCTGTAGTTCTGACTTTCAAATAAAAATAAATAAATAAATAAATAAATAAATAAATAAAATCACAACTAACGTGAAGGAGGGAATTGAGAAAACACAGATTAAGTGTCAGCCTCATAAAATGACAATTAAAGAGAAGTGATGAATGATCTATCACAGGTAAAGTACACAGAAAGAGAAAAGTGCCAAGAGGGACTCTTGGGAGGGCTCTATCTCAGATAACAGAAGATAATTCTAAGGTATGATATACATCCATAAAATAAAGCTTTAATTGTTATTGTACCTGTATGCTTGGTATGAAACTAAGATTTTATACAAGGTCTGACAGCAAGCAAGCAAAGGAAAGGGATGGATTACTAATAAGAATCATAAAATGAACTGTCAGGTTGGTAGAAGGAAACATCTATTGAACAATGTAATGGGGAGTAGAGGTGAGAACATTTCTATTGAGAAGACTGGTGAATTGTGTGAAATGCTTTCAGAGACGGAAGTTAGGGAAATGATATGGGAGGTCATAGTCAATGGGGACCTTTGAGAAATAGCTAATTATAGAGATTAAGAAATGGATCGCATTGCACTTAGAAGGTCAAAAGGAGTAGAGAGAGTCCAGAGAAACTATCATTTCAGTAAGGTTGCTAGTGAAGGAAATGAAAAATATATATCACCATTTGCATACATAGTAAGATGAAGTGAAGATACATTTTGCCTAAAGATGTAACTTAATTGAGCTGGTTTGTAAACTCAAACAGAAATCAAAGACATGAAACATGAATGTAATCTTCAGAGACAGGCATTAGGTCTAGTGGTTGAGATGCCTTTGTCCCACATTAAAGTACCTAAGTACCCTCTCCCTCTCCCTCTCCCTCTCCCTCTCCCTCTCCCTCTCCCTCTCCCTCTCCCTCTCCCTCTCCCTCTCCCTCTCCCTCTCCCTCTCCCTCTCTTTCTCCCCTTGGCTTCCAATTTGTTTCTCCTCCCTCTCCTCTTCTCCTGCCCCTACTATTGCAGGTATCTGGGGAGTAAACTGGCAGATGGGAGCATACTGCCTCCCTCTCCCTCCTCCTACCTTCTTCCCCTCTCCCTCTGTAATTCTTTCTCCTCCTTTTCCCCTTCTTCTGTCCCTGGCTATTATAGGTATTTGTGAATGAACCAGCAGATGGGAATACACACCCCCCCCCTCCATTCCCCTCTGCCTGTCAGTCTTTCTACTTCTTTCTTAAATGAATTTTAATTTTTTAAATAGTCAATTAGCAAGCAACTGAAAGTCTAGTCAGGACAGATGATGGCACGAGTGTGAATGCTAGCCCACAGTGAAAAGAAGGGAAATTTGTTTCCTGTGAGATAAGAGCAAGCGGGAGGCCATGAGCAACATCCATGAACATACTGAGCTGGAGCTAGAAGAAGTTCCTCTTTCATGGTTGGGGGAAATCATATTTCATGAATTTCCTTAATCTCGAGGTTCTTAAGATGAGTCCAGAATTTCTGGGAAAGAGTCCCCTAAAAAGGAGAAAGGAGAAATAGATACAAAAGATTAACAGTTTTTGAACTAAGTACAGCATCAATAATGTGAAATTGTGGTATAAACATTTGGCTGCATCTTATTATTTTCCCAAAAAGGCTGTGCATCTTAGTAGTGGAAGTAGGTAGAGTGAAGGCTAAGTTTACAGAGGCATCATGATTTACAAAAAGAGAATCAGGTCAGACAAAATGAGGATAGCTTAGCAGTGGGGCAGAAGTTGTGCAGAGGAAGGGAGGAGAGAGAGAAGAAAAAAATTCTTAAGTGTGTTAAAAATGTGAGAACTTGGGTCTATTAGGCCACTAAGGATGTGCTAAAGATGAAAAATAACCTCCTGTAGAAAGAAAAGGGTTAATGTATTAGAAATTATGTTCAGAGAAGTCCCTAGAGTCAAAATCAGATGAAAAGTCATTCCAAACTATTCTGAAACCTTAACTAAGTGAAGGATGCTCAAGGCTTTTGTTTGGATGATTAACATCATAACAAAAGCAGCAGTAACAACAAAAATAAATTTTGTAGCCTTATTTACTGTTTGCAATTTGTCAGGCACTATGCTAAGACCTGTAGTTCTATGAACTCAGTTCATTTTCACCTCCCTACTACATGATTGATGATGTTCACTGCCATCAGATTAACTATTTAACTCCCTAAAATTGAATGAATCAGTGGGTTGAATTAACATTGTAAGAGCACAAACCTGAAAAGTAAATAACCTCATCTAATTCAACTCTAACCAAGGCTCTTCATTTTCTAGGTACTCTGAACATTTACCGTGCATACAGGCACATGTAAGTAGTTCCTTAGGGATATCACAGAGCAGAGAAGAGTATGTTGCAAAACATTGTCCACAGTCTTAAATCTTAAAAAGCATAATCACTAGCTGGTGGGAGAGGACTACCATAGTAGAAACACAAAACACCTCTTTAGGAGCTTCTTTCTTGGGAAATAGAGAATTTTTTGAAGACATTATAATTTAATTTTTTAAAATTTTTGTTGTTTTAGGAGTGTAAGTGAAAGTTACTTCAATCATTCCTATGGTTAAACATAATTTATTTTAACTAGTATATATTTCTCATTTGCTTATCTTAATAGGAATTAGGACCAACTGTAGGATGACGTTCAATACATGTATTTAAATTAAAATATGTTGGAACTGTATCAGTTAAGCAGATAAATGCATTGACACTCTGCACTGAGCATTAAAAATTCATCAATTAATCTTAAGCCATTGGTTGCATTATAATAGGGTAATTGCAGCAATTTTTGTTCCCAATTTTATTAAGTAGACTCTCTAGCACTAAAACACCTTCTATAGTTACTGCCATAGATTTCCAAACCCGCATCAGGTGAGGGTCATGGTTACTCCATAATTACCATCTGTTTAGCTTGGTTAGTGCTTCTCATTATAACTCAGAAGGTCAATGATACTGTTCATGATAGGAGCTCAGTACAAATAGAATTAATAAAACTGCTCTGAGACTAACAAAGCACTCCTGCTCTAACTGATGGACAGTTAATTACGTGAGCATAAAATAGTGAGAGCACTGGGAAAAATACAGAACTTTGCAATATGGTAGATGTCCAAGTATAATATTGGTGGTTTTTCAGTGGACTGTACTGTCTAATTAGAGGACATGAGGCTAACGTTTGGCAAAGGAGAGCACAATTTTGAGGAAAGCAAAAAAATTGGTTTTAAACAATCTCACAGACTACATGGATGAGCATTTCAAATCTAAGTGGATCCATGTTTCTCATCTTCAGGAATGCATTTGAATCTTCCAGAAACTGCAGAGTGCCAAAGTCTGGCCACACTCAAGCCAATTAAGTCTGAATCCATGGAGAATGGTATCCAAACATGAATATCTTTTATAAAGGTGCCTTATGTACTGCTAATGTGCTAGGAGAGCTGGAAACCAGTGTGTTACAACATTCGGAAACTGCCATTACCAGTATAGATCTATTCATGAACAACTAAAAGTTTATTTTTATCTGTGATTCACATTGTTCGCTTAGAAGGACTAAGCCACACATTAACCACTTTCCTCAGTTAATGAATTTAATCCTTTCAAAATGAATATTTAACATGGTCTCTATAGAGAAACTGTGAATTTGAGAACCACTAGATGTTTATGCCTAGGAAAAAAAATAATTCATAGAAAATGTCCTACTAAACCTTTGATTATCCATAGCATTAGATGATTAGTGCTATCATTTTAATTAGATAGACAAGGTATACAATTAGATGAAAAGCTCTTGGTAACTTATCACATATTTATTTTCTGAAAATTGTATAGCATTTAATGCTGATATATTTTTAAAAAGGCTACTAAGCTTTGTATGGAGAAAACATATCCACAGGTTCCTAGAGTTCATATTACAATGATTAATAATTATGTGGGCAGAGATCACATTTGGTAGTTTTATGACTAAGTAATTTCTTTTAGAATAGTAGGAAGGGCAGTAATACATCTATACTTGCCTTTCCAAAGGGAAATGAAGTTCCAGGCTTAAGAGATAGTGTTTCATACATGATTTATTTGATCATTTATAAATAAAATATAGGAGTGAGTGTTTGGCGTAGCTTGGGACCCCGCATCTATCAGACTGCCTAGGTTTGAGTCCTGGCTCTGCTTCCATTTCTAACTTCCTACTAACGTGGACCTGGGAGGCAGCAGGTTTTGCTTAGGTGCCTGGGTCTCTGCTGCTCACAGAGGAGGCCAAGGTGGAGTTCCACATTCACAGCTTCAGCTTAACACAGCCCCAGATGTTGTAGGCATCTGAGGAATCAACCAGTGGATGGGAGATAGCTCTCTCTCCCTCTGTCCCTTCCACCCATCCCCCACTCCATCTCCCATGTGTGTATCTTCTTTGTATGCTTTTAAAATAAAAAAATAAATAAAACAGAAAAATACAGACTAAATTGAATTTTATAAAAATATTTTAAAAGAAAATATGTGAAATAAAATGCTTTTACTTTTAAAATATTTTACACCTGAGTTTTTGTTTATAGTTTGAGATTTTGAGTGGTATTTTTATGTTTAAAATGTCTCAAAAATATTTGCTACGGTTTCATTAAACTCCATACATTGTTTTCAAAAGATTTTCTTTTTTGTTTTGTTTTGTTTTGTTTTGTTTTTCAACTAGGACCCCTACTATGGCTGGTGGCCTATTTTCTATTGACAGAAACTACTTTGAAGAGATAGGAACTTACGATGCAGGAATGGATATCTGGGGTGGAGAGAATCTTGAAATGTCTTTTAGGGTAATTGCATTTTACATTTTTTTAAAAAATTCAAACATACTATGCTATAGCATGCACATAAAAACAGTGATTTACTGTCAAATATTTTTCACTGAGTGATGCAAATTACTGATCAGTTGGTCATTTTAATAATTATTTAGGAGCTTTGCTGGAATCCATTGCATGAAATGTTTACTGTTAAATGAGAAATTATAGGTATTTTTAAGTTTTCAAGAATAATTCTTTGATTCACAGCAAAAAGACATTAATGTTTTCAATTGTTGAAATAAAGAATTTTGTTCTTGAAATAAGTTACTTTGTGTTTTGGAACTGTAACTTGGAAGTGTTTATGGAATCTGAATTTGCAAGTACTGCCTAAGGTTACTGTGAATTAACTTTAGAATGATTTGTAGTCAAAGGCATTCTGGTAATTATGCAAGTAAAAGGAATATTTTTATAACCATGCACATTGTTGGACTAGTCAGTTTGAAATATGCAGATTCTTAGAAAATGATCTTCCAATTAAATGAAAATTGAAAATTAAGTCCTTGTAAATATATTAGGAAGAATACATTAATTTTAATAATTTGCTATGTTGAAAAATTTAAAATATGCAGACACAAGTGTAGCTTTAGGCTAAGAAAGAGATCCCCACTAACACACTGTTTTTGTTTATTCAAACCATATATATTACACTTTTAAATGAATTAACAATGTTGGTTTTTTCTTTCTAAAATTTAATATTGCAATCTAGAATTCAGTGTTGCAGAACTCTATTGTACAATGAAATTATTATTATTTAAATATATTTGTCCATGAAGTTAAAGGATTATACCTTTTAATTTCTCATTTAGAAAGTAAAGTTTGTTTTTCACTAATATAAATATGTGCAGTATTGTATAAGAAATTATATAAATAATAGAATACAAACCACCTTTGTTGTTTATAGTGCAAAATTTGGTGAATAGTAGATGAGCTGAATCCATTTAGAAGCACTAGAGCAGTCACATAGTACTATTCTTATGCCTATAAATTTCCCTTATGGCTGCCTGACTGATATATCCGCTGATCATACCAATCAAAATTCAGCTTCATACTCTCTGTTTTTTGTTTTTTTTTTTTTTTTTTTTTTTCACCCTGTGGCACTGGTACATCTTTGCAGAACCTTTTAGGATACTTGAGGACTGGAGCATATTACTTGTAATTCTCAAAGTGAAAGAAACAAGAGAGAGGAAGGAAGGAAGGAGAGAAGGAGGGAGAAATAAAATTAATATAATAAAATACTTCAAAGAAATTTGCTTTTACCTTTAGATGTAGAGATAAAAGAGTTTACTCATTCATTTACCAAAACCATTTGAGTACTATGCTGGGATTACATAGGGAAAAAAATCAACATATCAATATTGATATAAGTACAACTTTGTTGTCTATCTTGTTTCTTTCTTTCCTAAAATTCTTTCTTCTTCTTCTCTTTCTACCTGATAAACTTGATTTTCTGGCCATGAACACTTTTACTGTTATCACATAGCTCTCAGATTATAGAGAACTGTAGACCAAATTCTCAGTGTATCTTAGCCCATTTACTTTAGCATACCCCTGTTCTGATTATTACAATCTGTCTCTCAGGAAAGCTATGTGGATTAAATGAGATAATACTCCTCAGGACTTTTTATAAACTGTATACAAACTGTATTAATTTTAATTTTGTTATTATCCTTAAAATTAAGATTTGTCAATAACTTATATATAAATTAACAATTTGGAATTTAATTGCTCCAATTTTCTTTTCTTTGCAAATCAACAAAGAAAGCATCAGTATATTTATTTGAAGCATATAACCAAGAAAAAAAGGCTTCTTATGTGAAATCCATTTATTTCCAAATTGTACAAGCAATGAAGTGGAAATGAAATGAAAAGTGACATAGTAAATAATGGAAACATGAAAGGCACAGGTTCTCATTGAACAGAATAGTATGGTAAATGAGGTGAAGAAATGTATTGATCTTCCATGGATTGTGGTATCCAGGTTTTTAAGTAATAAAAGTAAGTACAGAATTTTTTAAAAAATGCCCAGGCAATTCAAATTTTGACAAGTGAAAATATCAGTCATAATAACTTGTTAGACAGAAATCAATTTAGACAAATTTCTAGCTGTGATTCTTTTAGAACTCTTTGCCTTTTGATAAACTTAATTCATACAAATCTGAGGAAAGTAGATAATTGCGCATGTATAAAACCTGACATTTCAAGGCCAGCATGTGGCACAGCCAGTTAGGTCATTGCCTGTGACACTGCATCCCAAGTGAGCTTTCTCTGCTCTACTCCCAAACCTGCTCTCTGCTGTGACACTGGAAGGCAGCAAATATGACCCAAGTCCTTTGGCTCCTGGACCCATGTGGGAGACCAGGATGGAGTTTCAGGCTTTTGGGTGTGGTCTGGCCCAGCCCTGGCTGTTGCCACCATTTGGGAAATGAACCAGAGGATGGAAGATCTCTGTGCCATCTCACCCTCTCCTTCTCGGTAACTCTACTTTTCAAATGAATGAATAAATCTCTCTCTTTTTTTTTTTAAATGGACTTTTCTTTATTTGACCAATCATGGAAATCATACTCTAATGGAAATATTTAAGTTAATTGAACTTAATATATTGTAACTTCATGTGTTATCCACAATTTTGCTGAAGAAGGTTTTATGGGACACTTTTCTTTAAAGGTTGTAATGCACTTCTATAACCTTAAAATGGAGAGATCTCTTAGTCTGTTAAAAAAGCTAAGAAGTCATACATTGGGATCATGTGTTTATACAACCATCTTAAAAAGTATAAACCAATATTAATGATTTTATCCACCAGAACTCTCTCTTTACATATTTGGCACAGGCTAAACGCTAAACCCTAAGCACATTGCAGTTAGTTTCACTTTCTAGATTCTGTGCTTACATTTAGATGTTTTAGTTATCTAAGAGACATCTGACTTTAGCCATTGTGTAGACTTTTACCTTTACTCAAAGAAGAATGTGCTTAATTTGTCAGAAATAAAATGTCTCTCTGTAAGGAGTAACTGAGAGGATGGTACTAAAGATTGTTATGCATCCATTATATATAGATACATATATGCATTTTAATTTTAATTTTATTTTATATATTTGAAAGGAAGAGCAGCAGAGACAGAGAGACATGTGTCTTCCACTTACTGATATAACCGCCAAATGTCTGCAACAGCTGGAACTGGGCCAGATCAAAGCCAGGAGCCAGGAGCATTGTCAGGATCACATATGTAGGTGGCAGGGACCCAACTACATGGATTCTCATCTGCTGCCTCCCAGCATACACAGAAGTAGGAAGCTGAAATCAGAAGTAGAGTCAGTACTCAAAACTGGCACTCTAGTATGAGACAGAGGCATCCCAAGCAGCGTCTTAGCCCCTGCACCAAATGGTTGTCGCCTATATATTTTAAAACTTTGAATGAGCAGGTGCCATAAATAAAGGCAATTAATATTTCTAATACAACTCTACCCAAAAGAAATGTTAGAATTTTATTTTGGATGTTAGCTACTATAAATGCTCAATTTCATATGTATTTCTAGAAAAAAAGTGAACAACAGGCAAATTATAAAGTAATCAAATGTAGAAAAGCCTTAGCAAACATAAGCAGAACAGGTATTATTCTTAAAATTATAATAACCAAAGGCTTGTTAATTTTGGTAACTTTATCTTTCATTAAAAATCTTTAGTTCACAAAATTATTTTAGTACACCTAACTTATCATATAGGCTTTGCTATGAAACCTCATCTCGTAGACATACTTTATGGAGACATGCTTATGTTTCTAGAAATATGACACATGTTAGGAAATTTAATAGAGTAGGACTGGATATGAATCTCTGGCTTTCCTTTAAATTTATTTAAATGTTTTTAAAATTAATTGCTTGTAAAACAATGGGTGGGTGTTCAGCACCACTACAATTTATTTTTTAGAGCATAACCACTTACACCATTATTTTCTACTTCTAAAATTCACTAAGATGTTAATAGCATGAAAACTCATATTAAAATAATTCAAAGTAAAGAAACTTAGGATAAACACAAAATCACTTACAAAGGCAATGGAAATAGTATGACAGGAAAATAAGATGAGTTAGTAATTTTATCTAAGTGCTAAATTCATTCAAATATTTCTACCAGCTACAGTAAAAAATAAAATTGCATGAAACCATTTTACTCAGAAGAAAAGAATCAGATTCTAAAAGACATTGTCTACTAGATAATGAAATAGTCAGTGTCTTGGGCCATGTTTTGGCAAACATCCAGTAATGCTTTCCAAATGGATGGAGGTATTCTAGGTTATTCTAAGAGAAGATGATTCAATTTCATTGCTTTCAAGTCATTTGATCTGATAAAGGATTATATCATAAATAATATAAAATGGCATTTAAACTTTTTCTATTAAATATGAATTATATAACTGCAGTCCACTTTAACTGTTGATCGATTCACATTTGAATTACCTTGATATTTCTTCTTCTAAATAAAATAGAACTCATATACTAAAGATGTGTACATACGGGTTTTTTTTTACATATAAATTTTAACATTGGATAATGTTCTCCCCTGCTTAACACCTGCCACATTTCTTCACAATTTTAGTTCATGGGTTTGTGTGTGAGTAGTATCATTAGGGAAAAAAAATTCTTTTTTTTTTTAATAAGCCTTTTTTATTTTTTATTTTTATTTTTTGACAGGCAGAGTGGACAGTGAGAGAGAGAGACAGAGAGAAAGGTCTTCCTTTACCGTTGGTTCACCCTCCAATGGCCGCCGTGGCTGGTGCGCTGCAGCTGGCACACCGCGCTGATCCGATGGCAGGAGCCAGGTGCTTCTCCTGGTCTCCCATGGGGTGCAGGGCCCAAGGACTTGGGTCATCCTCCACTGCACTCCCTGGCCACAGCTGGCCTGGAAGAGGGGCAACTGGAACAGAATCCGGCGCCCTGACCGGGACTAGAACCCGGTGTGCCGGCGCCGCAAG